TAATAATAATAATAATAATAATAATAATAATAATAATAATAATAATAATAATAATAATAATAATAATAATAATAATAATAATAATAATAATAATAATAATAATAATAATAATAATAATAATAATAATAATAATAATAATAATAATAATAATAATAGTTGGGTGCTATATATTAACTTTTTAATGTTATATGAAGATCCAATACACATACAAATAAATGAAAAAGCTGATAGGGAAAAAAGATAAAAATTGCAGGTTATATTCCAATTGGAATGATTATGTTATGTTCATGCTAGCTATAAAAATTTACTAGCCAAAAAATAACAATACACAAGTGGGGGTTATAGACGTGATTTATGCCACGGAAGTGGCATAATACATTGAGGAAGTGGCAACATCCTAATGAACTTGGTTTGAAGAAATAATAGTGGTGATCGAGTAGTGGCATCATCTAGATGGTAAAGGCAGTAGTGGTCGGTTAATGGCAGTTTGATGGCGTTGGTGGTTGGGTGGCAGTGGTCAGATGAAGATGCTGGTGGTGGATGGTTAGTTGTGTTTCGTCAATGGTTATAGCAAGACGAGGCGGTCTGACGACAGACAATAATAGTAGAGCGGTGTGTTAGTGTGGAGCCCTGTTGGATTTCTCACTCCCGCCTCCCGATCGCGAGTATCGCAAATACCACTCCCGCTCTTGTTCCTCATCCTGTTTCGCCAATCGGGGCCATCGCTCCTTTGCTTCGCCCCGCTCAACTATTCCCGTGCGCAGGTTTCGTGATAAAATGCATTGTAGTGGCTCCCCATTGGTTTTGAAGTCACGTTTTTTGCGTTCTTCTTCAGACTTCTTCGGGAGAGAGGAAGAGAAGTGAAAACAGTAGTTCCTAGCGCAAGAATGAAGAAGAAAGAAGAAGAAGAAGATTATTCTCCCTTTGCTTCTTCTTAGTGACTTGTGGCAGAAGAAAAATCAGAAGGATAAAAATTGGGTTTATTTCTCTTGTAAGTTTATCTTCTTGATTTATCTCGGAGTAGAGTTTCTTCGGTGTATCTCAGTGTAGAGAGAGAAGAGCAGAGGAGATAAAAGAAGAGAGAGCAACAAAGTAAGAGATTCCTCTTGTAAGTCGAGACGATCGACAGGTGTATATTCCCAAGTAGTAAAATTCTCTACGACTCTGTGGACGTAGGCAATTGTCGAACTACGTAAGTCTGTGTGTTTTGTTATGTTACTGTTTTCTGGTGTGAATTTTCTCGTTCTATTTCTTCGCTTTGTCAAAGATCATTTTCCTATTTTATTTCTATATATATACCACAACAAATAATATATATTACAACAACTAATATTAAAGCTTTGTTTGGATTTGAAAAAGACGATGATTGCAGATGAAGTGAAGGTTTCAGAGATCGATAATTTTGATGGCACAAATTTTAGTTATTGGAGAATACAAATAGGGGACTACCTTTATGGGAATAAACTCTATCTTCCGTTATTGGGGAAAAAACCTGAAAGGATGGATCCGGAAAGGATGGATGAGTCAGAATGAAATTTGTTGGAACGACAAGTTTTGGGGGTTATTTGATTGATCTTATCAAGGTCCATTGCACACAATGTCGTCAAGGAGAGGACAACTGCAGATCTCATGACAACCTTATCAGGTATGTATAAAAAGTCATCGGCGAATAGCAATGTGTACTTGATGAATAAGATATTCAACTTGAAGATGATGGAAGTTATTTCTGTTATTCAACTACTGAATGATTTCAATACTATCACATATCAATTATCGTCCGTTGAAATTGATTTTGATGATGAGATAAATGCACTGATATTGTTGGCATTATTCCCAAATAGTTGGGAAGTCATGAGGATGACAATTAGCAGTTTCTGTAGGTAAAACTAAACTGAAATGTGATGATATTCGTGATTTGATTTTGGTTGAGGAGGTGCGAAGAAAATATTCTGACGAGATCTCAGGTACGAGTTCGACACTGCATGTTGATTTCAGAGGGAGAAGACAGGACATGAACTCAAATAGAGGATATCAAAATCAAAGTCTGGTCAGTAGGCAACCTGTTGGAATTGTGACAAGACTGACCACATAAAGAGGAACTGCAAGAACCCCAAGAATATGGCGAATGATAACGCAAATGTGGTATATGAAGAAATACAAGATGTACTATTACTGACAGTTCATAGTTCTGTTGATGATGTAAGTGAAGAGGAGAGTGAGTCCGGGCACCAATTCCTATTGTTTCACAAACAGATGGTGGAGAACCACAGAGCTATGAAAAAATATTCAAAGATGAAAGTTCGAGCAAGTGAGAGCTGACAGAACTTCTAACAGGGAAGAAGACATTACACAATAAGTGGGTGTACTAGGTGAAGACAAAGCTTGATGGCAGTAAGAGGTACAAGGCTAGACTTGCTGAAAAAGGGGCAGGATATTGTCCATGCAGTGGGAGTTGTAAGCATAGACAATAGTAATATAGAAAATAACTTGAAGGTGCAAAGCTATGTTGACCCTACTGATATGTTGACTGAGGGTGTTGCTCTTGAGAAACTAAAGTTGTGCACAACTTCAGTTAGTCTTCTGGTGTGAAGACAAAGGTTTTGAGCTGTAGAGGTGGATGATTCATATTTGAAGAAAAGTGTGATGCCGCCATTGGAGGATATCAATTCGAGGAAGAAGACATTGTAGCAGGTGTACCGGTCTCCAAATGAGAGATTTGTTAGCGTGGAGTCTTGTTCGATTTCTCGCTCCCGCCTCCCGATCGCGAATATCGCAAATCCCGCTCTCACTCCTCCTCCTGTTTTACGAATCAACACCAATGCTACTCTGCTACAAATAACACAAAAAAACACGAGGAAGAAGAGAAGTGCACTTCTCTTCCTCTGTCACATTTTTTGTGTTATTCTTCGAACTTCCTCGGGATAGAGGAAGAGAAGTGCAAACAGTTGTTCCTTGCGAGAGAAGAAATAAAAAATAAGAAAGAAGAAAGAAGAAAATTGTTCTTCTTGACTTCTTTTTGGTGGCTTGTGGCATTGACTTCTTTTTTTTGGTGGCTTGTGGCAGAAGAGAATTTGAGTTTATTTATTTTGTAAGTTTATCTTCTTCGTTGTATCTCGATGTAAAGCTTCTTCAATGTATCTCGATGTAGAGAGAGAATAACAAAGAGAGATGAAGATAAAACAACAAAGTGAGAGATTCCTCTTGTAAGTCAAACCATAAATATAAGATTAAAGCAAAATCCAGGCCCTAAGCAGACCAGAAGAACAAAGATCGAACTATGCTTGATGCCAAAAGAACAAAGAGAGAAAAAGATAGAGTAAGAAAGTGAGAGATTCCTCTTGTAATTCAAACCATAAATCCAGGCTCTAAGTTGACCAGAAGAACGAATATCTTTGTTTTTGTCTTGTAAGTCACAAAATTTTTACTATTAAAATCACAATTTTAGGCACGTCCATAAATATAAGAAAAATATACATACATAGCGCACAATTCTCATGTTTGGCATGTAAATAAAATGTAAATAAATAAAACACTAAATATAAATAAATAATTTGAATCTGGTCAGCTTCGGGCCTGGATTAAATGTCTCGCCATTAAAAAAGAGAAATGTATTTACAAAATCGCCCTTCGCGTATCTCGAAAACCTTTCAGCTTTACCTTCCCCGAGCCTCGCTCTCAAAAATCCTCTTGGTCGCCTCCAATTCCACTCCCTCCTGTATCGCGCTACATATACGTAGCTGATAGGCGAGGGAACTCGCTTTGGTGATCGTCGATTCTTCTGCTACAATGGCGTCGGTGTCATCACCTTCAGCTTCTGAGACGGCGGCGGCGGAAGGGCCGGTGCTGAGTCTGATGAACAAGCGGCTGCGAGCGTTGCGCAAAAAGTATAACCGGATTCTTCAGATGGAGGCGAGTCTTGCGCAGGGAAAAAGCTTGAACAAGGAGCAGGAAGAAGTTCTGAGGTCAAAACCCGGGGTTGTAGCCCTTATTGAAGAGTACGACAAGCTCCGGTTGCCGCTCGCTGCCGCCGTTCAGGAAGAGCTTGCCCTATCCGCCTCCTGTTCATCGTCGGGTAACCCTAAATTGGTACCGGTGGCAACGGAGGATGCGTCTTTATCGACTGATTCCGCCGTCGATGGCTTGGTTGCACTGCTCTACTTTGGATGTCTCTTCGACGTGAAGCCCCAGAGCGAGTTCACATCGATGATGCTGACGAGGACCCATGAGCGCGGGTGTTGCCTGACGTACGATTATGTCACGGACGAGGCCACCGAGCTGCTTGGAGATAAAGATCTCGATATGATCTCCACTCTCGGAGGGCTGGTTACATCAAGGCCGCTCTATTCCGGGATATCTCACCGGAGCGCTCTCGAGGGCTGTATTCAGCACGCTAAACTCTGGCTACTGGGAGCCCGGAAGCCCATAGTTTCGGGATCCTCTATTACCTGTAAATTCCTCCCCTTACTTTCACCCTCTTACTTGTAGGTCCCTCCTTTTACTTTCTTTATTCCTTGCGTTATAGCCACTTAACTATCCCTATTGTCTAGATGCTGGTCTGAGAGAAAAGTTGAATAAGATTATGGCCTCAGACTACTACACGCGACGACACCTGAAATGAAAGCCCCAGTGGATGTTGCTGCTGCGGTGGGCAAGTACAATGCTGCTTGCCAAATGCTAGTTTCTGAACCTAGTGAGCAGCCAGCGCCAGACGGTCAAAGTAACGCAGTGCAGGTCGATTATCATCAACAGGTAAATTTGTATTTTCAGCTATTATTTGTGTAAGTTTAGTTTTCGTTTTGTTTGTTGCTTTTCTTGTCTCTTTATTCTCTTTTACTGTATGCTAACCTGAGAATTTTACTGCAATTTGATTAATAATTGACTCTGGAACTATTAGCTGCTTTCCTTTCCGGTTTGCGGGCTTTGGCATTTTTTACAAATGTTTGATGGAGTATGTAAAAAAAAAAGCATCTTTCCTATAATTCAGACATCGATGTTTGTTATTTTAGTTTGCATTTGTGCTCAAATTTTGGACTTGTAAAGTTGGGGCTTCTAATACACAAGTTCAGTTTTGCCAAGAAAGAAGTTCTGAAATCCAAACATAGTTGGGATACAATTTGCAATGGCATATAAGTATATGAAAATTAGAGGTTCATATGAAAATAATATTTAAATGATGGTAGGGTAATATGCATTCTTTATATTTTTTATATTCTTGTGTAATTTACCATAATCTCATTGTAAATGGAGTAAGTCAAAGGGGATGAAGCAAATCTTGTTTTGAGTGAATGTAGATAACTTAAAATGCCACCAATTGTAATGTTTGTGCATTTAAAGAGCCACTATTTAAATAGCAAAACATGTTCCATATGAGGTTATCTTTGTGGCATATGATGATTTTCTTGAAGCATGAAAATTGAAGCTAAAGCTTATGGCAGATAAGTGTTTGCATTTGAATCACAAAATGCAAGTTTAAACTTTGCTGGGATGATGCATAGTCACATTCTAATTTAATATTGATTTTTTATATGCATTTAATTCATTCAACCTATGAAATTTCTCCTTTGGCATCATTAGCAGCCCAATTTTGGTCCCACCTAGCTCACATTGTTCACGTCCCTCCATTTCAATAAATCAAATAGTAGTATGGGCCTTAGAAGAAAATGGCTTGAGAGGGTATTGAAACATAGATCTAGAAATTTATATCAATATTGAAGAATCAATTTGATTTAATATTATAATGATTCATTATGGATATCACTTGTGCCAAGTTAATCAATGAAAAAATATAAAGAGCAAACAAATATTCTTCACAACAACAACAACAAACCTTTATCCCACTAAATGGGGTCGGCTATATGAATCCTTTTTCTCCATTGCATCCTATTGAGTGTCATATTTTTATGTAATTCTAATAAATTATGATCATTTTTTGTATAATATGCCCAAGTCTTTCTAGGTCTACCTCTGCTTTTCCTAACTTAAGTCGAATCTATAACATCCACTCTCCTAATCGGATCATTAGATGATCAACGTTTAATGTGACCAAACCATCCATCTAAGATGACTCAAGATGACTCTCTCTAATTTTGTCCGCCACGGGAGCTACACCAACCCTATCATAGATATATTCATTTTGCATTTTGTCTCTAAGTTTAAAGCCATTCATCCACCTAATCATTCCACCTAATCATTCTCATTTCTCATTTCGACAACACTTAGTTTTATGCTTCTCTTTTAAAGGCCAACATTTAGTATCATAGCGCATTGCAGGTCTCACCACCATCTTATAAAATTTTCCTTTCAATCTAAGTAGTACTTTGCTGTCACACAATAGGCCCGAAGCATCCAACTAACTTGAATTCTACTATTAACATCCCCATCTATATCACAATTACTTTGTACAATAAACCCAAGATATCTAAAGCGTTCCCACCTTTTAATAATTTGATCACCCATAATTACAACTCTGTCACTAGAGCTACTACTATCAAAATTATATTCCATGTATTCAGTTTTAGTTCTACTCAAACGAAGGCCTTTAGACTCCAATGTAGACCTCTATATTTCAAGTTTTTTCTGAGCTTCTCTCTAGTCTTATCAACGAGAAGGATATCATCGGCGAAAAGCATACACTAAGGTACATCCTTCTGTAAATGTCCAATAAGGGCATCCATAACTAAAACAAAATGATATGGGCTTGAAGCCGATCCCTGATGTAATTCAACTGAAATAGGAAAATATTTGGTTAATCCTTTTGTTCGAACACAAGTAACAACTCTAGTAAGTTATATCAACACCTTTCTTCTCAAGCACTCTTCAAAGAATATCTCTTAGAATCTTATCATATGTGTTTTGCAAATCAATAAAAATCATATGTAGATCCTCTTTTTTCTCTTTGAACTTCTCCATGATTATCTCTGAACTTCTCTATCAAACCTCTCAATAAATGTATAGCTTCCATAGTAGACCTTCCCGGCATAAATCCAAATTGATTATGAGAAATATTTGTAATATGTCTTAACCTATGTTCAATTTCCCCCTCCCATAATTTTAAAGTATGACACATCAACTTAATTTCTCTGTAATTTACACACTCTTGTGTATCTCCTTTACTCTTAAAAATGAGAATCAAAATACTCTTTCTCCACTCCTCTTTCTCCACTCCTCAGACGCACTCCTCAGACGTCTTTTTAGTTTTAAAATAATATTAAAGAGTTTAGTAAGCCAAGAAACTCTCAAATCTCCTATATATTTCCACACTTTAATTGAGATATCATTAGGTCCTACAAACTTTCCTCTCTTGGTTTTCTTAAAGCCCCTTCAACTTCTTGTTTACTAATGCGACCGTAAAAATGAAGCATTTTATTATTATTAACGATAGTAAGATCATTAATGTCGATCGTATCTTCAGAAACTTCATTAAAAGTTTATCAAAATAACTCACCCACATATGTTGAATATATTTTTTTAAGAAAAACACTTTTTTTTCATCTTTAATACATTTTACTTGAGTTAAATCTTTAAATTTCTTTTCTTTTTGTTTGACTAGTTTATATATATTTTCCACCATTTTATTATCTAATCTATTATTATAAAGATTACTAAAAACAAAATTTTGGGCGTTAGAGATTGTTCTATTAGACTCCCTATGGACCATTAATATATTTTCCAACTCTCTAATCTTTTACATTTAAACCAATTTTTATAACATTACTTGTATTTTTTTTGCATTATTATTCCACCTCAAACTATTTTTATTTTTTAGAAATTTTTAAATTTGTTCTCCGAGTATATCTTTTGCCGCTTGTTTAATAATGTTTGTTATTTTATTCTACATATAATTTGCTTCTTCACAAACATCCTAAATCTTGAAATCTTGAAGTTTATTCATAAAAATAATCTTATTTGGCTTTTAGGTGCTTTCATCAATTCTACGGCAATGATTTCTAGCATTCTTTATTTTACAAATCTTCATTTTAAAATCTAAAACTAATAAGCGATGTTGAGTATTTAAATTCTCACTTTGAATAACCTTACAGTCTTTACATTCTTGACGATCACTTCTTCTCATAAGAAAATAATCAATTTGTGTTTTATTATATTCATTCTTAATTATATTTGTTTTATTATATTCATTCTTATAAGTAATAATATGCTCATATCTTTTCTTGAATAAAATATTAGCAATACCAAAATCATATGCTAAAGCAAAATCTAATATGGCTCTAACTTCTTCATTAATCACTCCAAAATAGTAGTCACTATGAATATTTCTAAAATCTTATACCACTCTCCCAACATGTCAATTTAAATCTTCTCTAATAAAAATTTTTCCTTCAAGAGATATTATTTGTATTAAGTCTTCTAGACCATTCTAGAATTTATTTTTAGAACCTATATCTAAACCTACTTGAGGAGCATAAGTAATTATAATATTAAAGATTTTAGTATCAACAATAATCTTAAGGGCTATAATTTTATCTTCATTTCTATTAATATTTACAACATTATTTTTCAAACTCTTATCTATAATTATACTTACACCATTTGTTATGGGACTCTTACCTAAATACCAAAGTTTAAAACCTAAGTTATCAATCTCTTTAGTCTTTTTTCCAACAATTTAGTTTCTTGAATACATAAGATATTTATCTTTTTATGAATTATAATATCAAATAATTCCATTAATTTACTTGTGAGAGTACATATATTTCAAGATCCTATTCTAATATTAGTTTTATAGACTAATTTCTTCACTCACATTCGTCCATAATGTGGAAGTCCTTGTTTATTTGACACTGCACCCGGGTACCGGTTCTGCAGTTATTGCACATTTTTCATTGTATTCAGACCATACAATGCGTCGCTTTCAGGGGATGCCTTAGCATTTACCTAAGATCAAAAGTATTCATGTCATAATTTTTCGACAAATTTTATGCTGACTGTCAACAACCTAACGCAACCCTCCATTTTTCACATATAGAGATTGGGACCCAACAATGGCTAAATAAATAATCTTTATATGATTTTTTAAATCTTAAAACAATATATAATCTATTAGTCAAGTATTATGAGAATTGATTTTTCTATGTTATGAAAAAATATATTTTCTCAAAGGTATTTTAAAGCTATTAAAAATATTTATGATTGGCCATTGGTTTGTATTTGAACTTTAAAGCAGGGTGATCAAGTAGTTATTGATTATAGTAGGTGTCTAGGATAGTATTAAGTTTGTATTTTTTATATTTGTTATGGAGATGCTTACAAAGGATGGAATACCATGAAATATCATGCAAATAATAGAGATTTTTATTATAGGAGCTAATGATGTCTGAAACAAGTAAAAAATTAGAATAATGAAAAAAATAAATTGAAGATAATTGGTTTATGATTAGTAGAGAAAAGCTAAAGTAAATGGAATATAATTTTAGCCATGTGTAATGTTTCTAGCTATTATCCAATATTATTAGAACATAAGGTGATATCTAAATTTGATAGAACTTGAACCTATTATACATAAGGAGACAAATCGTTGTGGAGTGTCTTCGGTCTAATGTGCAATAGGATATTGTTATGTTGACTTACAAAATAATTTTTATAAAACCTTAATTAAGGAGTCTTTATTGTATGGATCCTAGTGTTTATTTTGAGGGATCATTTTTTTATGACACCCGAGTTCATATTTCTCATTAGTTATTTCTTTTATCACCAGAAAGTATTCAATATTATTGGGTGAATGTGCGACACAT